GTAAGTTAAAAGTTGTTGTGTATCGGTAACGGCAATTGGCCCAGCTTATTCACATGTAGTGAGTTGCATGCTCTTCTATACCTGGAAGTAAGGAAGAGCATACCTATTGCTTTCTTTTGTATGGGGAAAGCACAGGTTTGCTTTAAAAGGTATGACAGAGAAAAACAGAAATTCCTTATCTGTACAGTATGTACTCCTCTCTTTAGTAATCCAGAAGAATCCTCATCTAATCCAGAAGAATCTCTTTTCAAATAACCATCTGTAATAGAAGAAAACAGAAATCGAGTTATTTAATTTATTGTGGCAGGATTGTCAGTAACTACCCACTGGGTTTAATGTGATAATACAGTCAAAACGATTTTAAGCTATTTCAAATGCTCATGAAATCACTTACAATGGATGCTGCCCCTTGATGTTTAAAAGTTTTAGTTTCCTACAGAATCAGCTGTTCCCCAGAGTACTGGTCCTAAAATTCTGTTTAAGGCCTCATTCACACAGCTTAGAGTGAGCCCGTACAGATCCGTGCGGTGTGCACGGCCATATCAGGCCGTTCCCAGGAAGGATAGGTGCTGCATGTGATTGTACGCAGCAGCCTGTTCTTCCCTACGGGAGGATGCGCCGTACCCTCACCCGAGCTGCACATCAGTGCGGGTGTCTGTACTCGTACGTAGACAGGATCCATCCTGTCTGCATACAGGTACGGACACCCGCACCTATGTGCAGCTCGGATAAGCGTACAGCGGAGTACGGCCACGTCCTCCCATAGGAAAGGACAGGCTGCTGCGTACAATCACACGCAGCATCTGTCCTTCCTGGGAACAGCCGATACGGCCGTGCACACTGCAAGGATCTGTACGGGCTGACTCTAAGCTGTGTGAATGAGGCCTTAGAGTGACTCTTTTCTCAAGCAGAGTGCTATGCATTCACCTTTGTGTGTGCTAGTAAGCTGTGTGTGTCTCCACAAACACAAGACAAAGCAAATCAAGTTGCCACCTCCCCACTGGCCCCTTCTCCAAGCTAGTAGATGATCAGTTGTTGGAGTGTGCCCTGTCCGTTGTGGTCCTATACTGGACAGGAAGTTCAGGGAAGCTGAGTTGAGAGACCTTGAAGCAGCTGTTCAGAAACATGATGATTGTAAGTGTTTGGGCAAAAAATGTAAAGCAATGCTTTGCTGAGCAATGTATATTTGTTTGATCTGGATTCATTATTGAAAAAAAGTTTGAGAGTTTAATACTACTTTAACCACCTCCCATCCATGGCTGTTCCTGAATGGCTGGACGGAAGCCTTATAGGAGCAGGGGGGCGTCTTAAGACGTCCTGCCCCTTCCCCCCGCTCGTGCGCGGCACCCAGTGCACACAAGTGGGGAAACTGTCAGCATGTAAACAGCCAGCGATGACTGTTTCCATTCAATTGGATTGGGCGTCTCTAGATATGCCCGATTGCTTGCAGTAGCTGCGGGTGTGAGCCCCCCGTTCCTCCGTCGCCGCCATCCTCATCGCTGCC